ATTATTACTCCTGCATTTATTCTGAGCGACCGCAGTGCTGACTCCTAACCCCCAAGCATCGGTGGGGCAGGAGCTCCATCCTCTTCAGTGCTCTGGGTCTGGCCCAGGCGCGCTCTGTAGCTCTGGCAGGGCCCCTGGGGAATTAGCGCAGTGAGGAGGCCCAAGTCTCCTGGGAGCCTCTGTGGCATGCCAGCCCTTGCAAGTGCTGTTAACACCCAGCTTGAGGTACCATGGAGACCCCCAACACTCAGTCACAGGTGACACGACCAGTGCCCTTCCCCCTCCCGGAAGCCTGGCACCTCCATCCCGCTGTGGTATCAGCTGTGTGCCCCCGCCTGGCATCCCGGCCCTGGCTAGTGCTACAGAGGAGCCCTGGGTGGGCCAGGAGGAGCGCTCAGCCCCGAGAAGGTGGGTTCTGAGAAGGTGGGGCTGGGAGCCTGAGCCTGGCAGAGCGCCTAATCCAGCTTGGTCTGAGGTGGCGGTAGGGCCCAGAGAGAGGTCAGCAGTGCTGAGAGGACACGTGGAGGGGCCTTTACCCCTACGGGAGCTGAGGGGAGGTCCTCCTGGAGCAGGGTCGCGTCTCCAGGCCCCTCTGAGACCTCAGTCTCTGTCAGCCCTGGCTGCTGGGCACCACTCTGCTCCAGACTCCCTGCAGCCAGGAGTCTGCTGTGCACAGCCCCACTCCCCTCCCCCACATCCCCGCCCCTACCGGTTTCCCTGGGCTGGATGAGGGTGATGCCAGAAGCGAGGTCTCCCCCTGCTGCTCCCCCCTTCTAACTTGCCTGGCCAGGGCTCAGTAGCTGTAAAGTGTTCAGCCCGAGTGGGCAGGAGAGTGGGGTGGACAGACGCACCAGCTGTGGGGGCTGGCAGCTGGCTGTGGACAGAGGGTTTGGGGGCACAGCCCTGTGAGGCTCTGTGACAGCTTTGTGAGAAAAACAGAGGGGCCTGTGTAGCTGTCCTCACTGCGCTGGGGGCTGGGGGTGGCCTGCTAGTGACCGCGGGAGTCGAGGGACTGTGTGGCTCCTCTTTCCAGGCCCCAGCCCCAGGGCAGCGGGTGGTAGTGAGCGAGGATACAGGCCCAGATGCCCTCCCATGGCCACGGAACAGGACACTGGCTGGAGCTGCAGCCCAGACCCTCAGGTTGGAGGACCCAGCCTTGAACAACTGGCTTGCCATCACCACCTCTGTCTAGTTCCAGAACATTTCATCACTCCCAAAGGAAACCTGTGCCATTAAGCCACTCCCCCTTCTCCTCTCCTTCCAGCTCTACATGGCTGTGACTATTCTGGACGTTCCTTGTAGGTGAGATCCTTCACACCTGTTCACTAGCCTGGTATTTTCAAGGTTCTTCCTTGGAGCGGGTATCCGTGCCCAGTTACTATACAGCCAAGTGGTCCACGGCCGTTTTCCTGGTGCATGGGACATCTGCCTCCCCCGTGTCCCTTGCCGCGATGGACAGCGCTGTCTATGTCCAGGCATTTGTCTGAGCACCCATTGTCACGGCTTTTGGGCTTGTACCTCGGAGCGGAATTGCCAGATACCTGGTAAATCTACTGCTTTGGGAGAAGCACTCAAACTGCTCCCCAGAACAGCAGCTCTCGTTTTTTTCTCACCAACAAGGTGCCGGGCTGGAGCCCTTGATGCCTGTGGTGACCCTGTTGTCTTCCCTTTTCAATGACAGCCGCCCTGTGGCTTTGGGCCACTGCTGTCGACCTGAGACTGGGTCTCGTTTCAGATTTCCTCCCCTTTCCTGGATAGGGAAACTGAGTCCCAGCAAAGTTCAAACACAAAAGGAGCAAGGAAAGTTTGGAGGCAGGGGCTGCTTTCAAGCCAGCTGTGTCTCCCCAGCGCGAGTCCTCAGGTGCTGTGGGGTCCCCAGCGCCCAGCCTGCCCATTGCTCCTTGGACTTCCTGGCCTGCCTCATTGTTGCTCTTTTCTTTTTAAAGATTTGTGTTATTTATGTTTACAGAACTGGGGTACAGGCTAAAGGTGGGGGGGCGGTGGTGAGAGGATTCACCAGAGACAGAGTGGGGAACAGGATAGCCAGATTGACTGAAATACACTGCTGAGGGGAGCAGCGGGGAGACAGGAGAGGTCTGCTGTGCCATGTGGGTCAGCTCCCTGGCCGGGGATCGAACTCATGCTGAAGCGGCTGCAGCTAGCTTCATAGTGCTGCGCTTTAACCCATTGCACCGTCAGGGAGGGGCCCTCTGTTCCTTTTCTTTTGGCAAATCTCTTTCTCTCACACCTTCCCTTCCTCTTAACAGCTTCCTCATCTTGGCCTTCTCAGGCTTTAACTTTCCTGCCTGTCTGCCTGCCACCTCCTGGGCTCTGTCCCTTTTTTTTACTTTATGGCCCTCCAATCTTGAAAGGGCAATGCAGCTGTGCATTCGGGGGTGTCCCTGGGGCGCACTGCCTCTTCCTGGCAGGAAGAGCACAGTGGGGTGTTCTGTGGAAGAGAAGCAGCAGTAGACAGTGAACCTCAGTGGAGGCAGGAAGGAGCTGTGGCTGCTGTGGGACTCTGGGCCTGGGAAGAGCGGCCCCCAGCCCCCACTGTGAAGTTACTCATGGGGGTTTCGCGCCATGCCAACTGCTTTTTCCTCTGCCAGCTGCTCAGGTGTCAGGTCAAGGGAGGAAAGAAAACAAACAAGCCGCCAGAGCGGAGCCCCAACAGCTGAGAACTGGCTGTTTCAGGCATGTCCTAGTCCCTCGGGACTTTATTAGCTCCTCCCACACACCTCCCTGTGTGGGACGGGTGCTGACCTCCTCATGGAGATGCTCCATTGGAGATGCTGGTGGCCCAGGGAGAGGGTGTCTCTTTGGAAGGGGCCGGGCCACATGTCACATACAGAACTGATTTTCATCTAGTTCCGTATCTGTATTGCACATTTGAGTCTATCTGTTGGTGTCATCTTTTTTTTTTTTTTAAGATATATTTATTTATGCATACAGAACTGGGGTACAGGCCAGAGGTGCAGGGGCAGTGAGAGGATTCACCAGAGACAGAGTGGGGAGCAGAACAGGAAGATCAGGTCAATGAAGTCCACTGCTGAGAGGAACAGCTAGTGGGTCATGAGAGGTCTGCCGCACCCTGTGGGTCATCTCCCTGGCTGGGGATCGAACTCGTGTTGCAGTGGCTGTGTAACTTCATAGTGCTGTGCTTTAACCTATTGCACCACAAGGAAGACCCTGGTGTCCTCTTTTAAATAAATTCCCTCTTCCCAAAGGAAAAAGAATATGCCATCCAACTCTAGACAGCACTTAGTAAGTGCCTCTGTGTGCACTGAGCCAGGACATCATCTTGTACTATGCTCACAGAAGACCTGCAGGGAGATATGATAATTCCCCATTTGCAGGCAGGGACCCCAGAGGCCTGGGAATTTGAGCGATGGTGCATTTGACATCCTTGAGGGAATGGTGTGGGAGGAGGGGTTGCCTGCAGGATGCGGACAGATGGTTTAGGGGAGGTTGCGGAATTGGCTCCCCTGGTATACGTGGGGAAGACATTCAGAGAAGCAGGGTCCTGGTCTGAGCACGAGGGAGGAGGGCAAAGGGGCCCCAGGGGAAATCCAAAACAAGTGTAAAGTGAAAGTCAACTTTGGGAGAGATCGGGAAGGGGCTGGCACTGTCCCCAGCACCCCCAGTGAGCTGTGACCTGAAAAGTCCCCAGAGGAAGCCCACGGAGAAGCCACCTCCCTGGCTCTGAGCGTGCCGGGCTATTGTTTTTAGTGGTGTTTTCCAATCACTTTGTACCTTGGCAGAAATGGAGCTAGTGACTTCTGCCTATAATTGGCATGTGACGCTTCCGGTCCTGGTGCTTGTGACTTGCCATTTTCTTTGTGTTTAACCTCTTCCCCTGCACACACCTCACCCTGCTGCCTCCCTCCCCACCCCCACACTTAGAAAGAGCGAAGACCTGACCCTGCCTGTGTGTAAAAATACATGGGGTTGAGCCATTTCCTGCTGCTTCCGTTGTTGCATGATAAGACACCGGGGACTCGCTGGGGACAGAGCGGTCCTCCCAGACCTCGGGGCACAGCCGGACGCGCCCTGAACCTGCCGCTGCTGTCTGACCCCGTGGTGCGCTTCTTGTCCTGCCCTCCGCCTTCCTGGTTCTCAGCTCCTTTCTTAGTGTCACCCTGATGTGCTCAGGAAGCCACCCTGCCTGCCAGCAAGGAAAAGGGACTGTCACCTTCCTGCGCATTCACACACTTCCAAGCTGGGTGGCTGGGAGCCCCGGAACCCAGAATGGCCCCTGCCTTTCTTGGCCCATGAGTTGCTGTGGGACCTGAAGCATTGGGGGCCTCGCCAGTGGGCTGGGTGCATATGTGTGTAACCCCTTCTGGTTCTGGGACACTGGAGGGGCTGGAACTCCTAGCCTGATGAAGCGGAAAAGGCTGCTGACGACTCCAGAGAGCTGGAAGGTAACGCGGAGGCCGGGGTGGGGGTGCATCAGCAGACGAAGGGTGACCTGCAGAACCGTGTCAAAGAAGTGGGGCAAGGAGGGTGGTGCAGGGTGCAGGGGTGGGGGGTGCAGGCTTGGTCAGCTCTGAGAGAGAGGCTGCCCAAGGCGGAGCCTTAGTGGGTTGAAACCCAGAGGCCTCTCCCTGAGGATGTCTCCGGGAAGCCCCAGCCCTGCTTTGTCTGTGTGACAGAGCAACAAAGTGCAGGGCTGGAGCTTCTGGCCGCTCACAGATGTGTCCCTGAGCACCGCCCCCCCGCCCCAGAGACCCCAGACCTGCCCAGGTTGTGTTTGTGGCCTCTGGGGGGCCGGGGAGCCAGGAGGTGTGTGGGCGCTTCCTAAATGCCAGTGGCCAGGGAACACTCACGTGGTTCCACTTTTCTGTTCTTTCGGTGAAGTTTGTTATTCATCCTGAACCCATTCTCCAGGCCAGTAAACTAAGTCCAGAGGTACCCAGGAGCACACAAGAGGTACCACCCAGCCCCCTTCCCTTGGGCTCACGGGGTCCTCACACGTCTTCCTTTTGTCTCTGCCCCAGGTTGACAAGGGAGACCTCGTGACCCTGAACCTCTCCGGCAGCTCTGGCCATGGTGACTCCGATGGCCCGGTCAGCCTGGATGTGCCGGAGGGGGCTCCGGACCCCCAGCGGACCAAGGCTGCCATCGACCACCTGCACCAGAAGATCCTGAAGATCACGGAGCAGATCAAGATCGAGCAGGAGGCGCGCGATGACAACGTGGCGGAGTACCTGAAGCTGGCCAACAATGCGGACAAGCAGCAGGTGTCCCGCATCAAGCAGGTGTTCGAGAAGAAGAACCAGAAGTCGGCCCAGACCATCGCCCAGCTGCACAAGAAGCTGGAGCACTACCGCCGGCGGCTGAAGGAGATCGAGCAGAACGGGCCCTCGCGGCAGCCCAAGGACGTGCTTAGGGACATGCAGCAGGGGCTGAAGGATGTGGGCGCCAACGTGCGGGCTGGCATCAGCGGCTTTGGGGGCGGCGTGGTGGAGGGCGTGAAGGGCAGCCTCTCGGGCCTCTCACAGGCCACCCACACGGCCGTGGTGTCCAAGCCTCGCGAGTTTGCCAGCCTCATCCGCAACAAGTTCGGCAGTGCCGACAACATCGCCCACCTGAAGGACCCGCTGGAGGATGGACCCCCCGAGGAGACGGCCCGGGCGCTGAGCGGCAGCGCCACGCTCGTGTCCAGCCCCAAGTACGGCAGTGACGACGAGTGTTCCAGCGCCAGTGCTAGCTCCGCCGGCGCCGGCAGCAACTCCGGGGCGGGGCCCGCCGGGGCGCTGGGGAGCCCCAAGTCGAACACACTGTATGGGGCCCCGGGCAACCTGGATGCTCTGCTGGAGGAGCTGCGGGAGATCAAGGAGGGCCAGTCCCACCTGGAGGACTCCATGGAGGACCTGAAGGCGCAGCTGCAGCGGGACTACACCTACATGACGCAGTGTCTGCAGGAGGAGCGCTACAGGTGCGTGCCCCTGGCTCCGCCCCCACGCTGGGCAGCCGCTGGTATTGGCCCCAGCCCTGTTTGGGCTCCAGCTTGTGGAGGCAGAAGAAAGAATGTCTGGGAGGGCCCTGAGCTGGTGGCCGAGGCCGCAAGGGGGAATGGGCCCTGCAGTGCGGGAGGCCGCCAAGAAGGAGTCCCGGCTGCTAGCAGAGGCTGGCAGGGGTCTGGGCTACCTTGTGCTGTTCCCGGGGCAGCCTGAGAGAGGATTACACGACCCATGGAAGAAAGTCCTGCTTTCTTGAGCGTCAGGGGCTTTGAGCATCCCTGTTTGATGGCTGTGTGACCCATCTGAAGAGGAAACTGAGGCAGGCGCCCGCTGTTGTCCTCATCCAGAGAGGCGCTGCTTGAGAGCACTGACCCTCGTCTGGATGACCTGGGTTCAGATCCCAGCCCTGCTCTTCACTACTTACCTGAGCAAAGTGCTGGGAGCCCCCCCCCCCGTAGCCCCCCAACGCTGTCTCCTGGCCTGGGAGGTGGGCGCAGCGAGAAGGCCTGCCGCCTCGGCTGGTGCTGGTGGGGAGGCGGTGCGTCCAGGCCCGTGAGGTCAGGATGCACACACTGGCCCTGGGCCCTGGAACGCCCGCCGAGGTGCCCCGGGACACTGGGTCCCGTCTGCCCTCCCCCACTGCTCATTGCCCTTTGAGTGGCATTTGTTACCTGTCCCCCGGGGTTCTTGGCAATCTTACCCTTGGAGTGTTTTCATATATATGAAGGTTTGGAAAATTGAGGGGGATGGGATCTGAGGATGAAGCACCCCCACCCGCTTGGCACCTTGGTACCTCTCGTGTGCTCAGAGCCAGGCCTGGGACGGCTGGGCCCAGGCTGTGGCCAGTCAGCCCCGGCTCCTTCCTCACGAGCGTGTGGTCTTAGGCAGGCTCCTCAGCTCCTCCATGCCTGTCATGCGTAAGATGGGGCGATGCCGGTGATCCCCTCCGGGTTGAGAGGCTCCCCGAGTGTGGCATGGTGCCTGCCCATAGAATGCTCTGTAAATAGCAGCTTTCACTGTTGTCGCTGTTAAAATTGGAACAGGGCTGAAGGCGTGGGGCGGGCTGAGTCACTGTGGAGCGTGAATGAAATGGATCCCGGGAGGAGGGAGACTGGGGACCCTGCTCAGCCCTACCTCCTCGTCCTGCCAGGTACGAGCGGCTGGAGGAACAGCTCAATGACCTGACCGAGCTCCACCAGAATGAGATGACCAACCTGAAGCAGGAGCTGGCCAGCATGGAGGAGAAGGTGGCCTACCAGTCCTACGAGAGAGCCCGGGACATCCAGGTACGGCTGGGCCTGGCCCTGGGGAGGCAGAGGTTGGGGGTCTTGCGAGATAGGGACTACTGGGCCCAGGCTGTCGTTAGCCAAAGCTGCTGGGCAAGTGGGTGAAGACGCTGGTGGGTGGGGTGAAGAGACAGCTAGGCAGACGCTGGTGGGGGTCACCTGCCCCTTGCCCCCAGCCTCACTGATGAATTGGCCTTTGGGGACTCGAGACTCAGGCTGCCTCCAGAGGAAGCCAGGAGGGGCCCGGCTCCTCCTCCGCCCATGTGGACCAGTCTCCTCCCCAACAGCCATGGAAGGAGGGCCCTGCCTGCTCCCCCGCTCCCCCACAGACTACCACCCTCCCCTGCCTGGTGTCTGGGGCCGGGAGGTGGGGCTCTACTGGGCTCCTGCCCTCCTGAGCCTGTGTCCTGCCCCTGCAGGAGGCCGTGGAGTCCTGCCTGACTCGGGTCACCAAGCTGGAGCTGCAGCAGCAGCAGCAGCAGGTGGTACAGCTGGAGGGCGTAGAGAATGCCAACGCGCGGGCACTGCTGGGCAAGTTCATCAACGTGATCCTGGCGCTCATGGCCGTGCTGCTGGTGTTCGTGTCCACCATCGCCAACTTCATCACACCCCTCATGAAGACCCGCCTGCGCATCACCAGCACCGCCCTCCTGGTCCTCGTCCTCTTCCTGCTCTGGAAGCACTGGGACTCCCTCACCTACCTCCTGGAGCACGTGCTGCTGCCCAGCTGAGTGGCCAGCTCGCCCTTTCCCTGTGCTCTCTGGGCCCCCAGCTGGCCAGGCTTCTCCACAGGGGACCTGGGACTCTTGAGTCCCTCAGGCTTCTTCGTGTGTCCAGTTTGGCCTCCTGCCCAGTGTCTGTCCAACAGCACCTGCCCCTTGTCCGTTCTTCCTCCTGTTGGCCTCAGGAAGCCTTGGAGGCAGCCCCAGGTGGAGACCGTAGGGACATCCGTGAGCACGTGCGGCGGAGGCGGACACGGGGACGGGCTGCTCTGATAATTTGCTGTCACACAAGGACTTCTGGCTGACTCTGGCTGTCCAGTCAGGATGGCCAGCGGGTGTGAGAGCAGGAGGGGGCCATGCCTTGGCCTCCCAGGGAAGAGCCCACCCTGCAGGCAGCTCTGGTCCCCTCCTGGACATGGTCAGGGTGAAGGCAAGAGTGAGGTGGAGATTGCGGGCCCCAGAGAGTGCAGGGGAGAGAGCAAAGGGCCCCCCGCCCAGCCTCTGGGGCATCTTCCAGGCCAGAGCTAGCCCCTTGCCACCAGAGCTGTCCGAGACTGGATTCTGGGCTGGGACCTTCTGGGGTCTGAAAGACTCAGGCCCTGCAGGCCAGCTGGCTGTGGCTTTGGACTTGCGTTTCCCCGTTATTTTTTTCCGCCTGTCACTGAATCTGCTACTTTCAGGGAAACAGGCCCCAGGGGCCCCGAGCCTCAACCTAAGTCCTTAGGCCTCTGGGAGCACGTTGGGTTCTATTTATTTATTTATTTATTTGTTCTTCTGTACCTTCCCCACATCTTCCCTGCCCAGCTCCAGGGAGCCCTTCCTCTTTCTGAAGCCAGGGCTGCTTGACTGTCGGGCACTTCTGTGTACCATTTAGCCTCTGCATAATCCTAGGACTGGCAGGGCAAAGGCGGGCCCCACAGCCCAGCCTCCCCCCTCCTCAGCCCCAGCCAGCCGGGCAGGGAAGTGGGGAGCCCAGCCAGAGTGGGAGGAGCGAAGCCTCTTTTCTACGTCTCTTGATTTTGTACGTAGCGTGCGTTTGTGTGAGGAGGCTGTTTGTTGCTTTATTCTTTAAGGCTCTGGGGGTGTTGTGTATGGTTTCTCTTAACACCCCGGCCTTCCCACCGGCACTTCCAGAAGAGAGGGGATTTCTCTGAAAAGCAGAGAGAGGTCCGCTCCTTAGAGCAGGGGAGGGCAGGGCCTGCCAGCTGTCGTGGACCTTCCCGAGAAATAAATATTCTCTAAGTTTTCAAATCATCCTGTCTAGTGTCTGGTTGATTAATTTGCCTCTGTGGAAACTGAGTTTCACCCTACACCCGGCAGTCTGGGAAACACACTGGGCCTCACTTCTGCGGAATGACAGTGAAGAAGGCGTCATCCTTCTTCCCATCCTGCTTTGTGCAGCTACAGAAGTTATGGCTCTAGATAAGCAGGAGGGGAAGTGGAGGCTGCTTCATCCAGCCTTTAAGAGCTCTTTCCAGGAAGAGGGAGTTGGGAGAGTTCATAGCTTCTGGAGAGAAGCTACTGGCGGCCTAGATGACAGCGGTCATGTCTAGACGTGGCCACAAGAGGGCAGCAGCCTCCTTACGCAGCCCTTTCTCAAAAGTGCCCCAAAGAATGACATAGAAATATTCTGAGCACAGATGGATCCCGGCAGCCTTGGGCCTGAGACAAGAAGCCCTGCAGAGCCCTGGCTGATTTAGTAATTAGTGTACCCGTGGCCTCTCAGGGCCTCAGTTCTCACATCTGTAATATGGAATAGAGGCAGTAACTGCTCATTTCCAAGGTCTCTGACGTTCTCTGACTCTGTGGGTCTGAGAGGAGTTAGAAGTCCTCAGGCTGGAGGAAGTGGCTGTCAGGACCCTGCCCTGAGGGATCAGACCAGGGAGAGCTGACCCCTGGAGGAGGCAGCCTTGAGAGTTCAGCTTCACCACCCCCCCCCCATCACTAGATGACCTTGTAAGCCTTCTGATTCTCTCTCTCTCTCTCTCTCTCTCTCTCTCTC